TCCCTTACCCTACTACCCGCTTGCCCTTCCCTAAACAACATATTGACCACCGAAAAAACAACATCAAACACCCTCAGCCCTCCCTTCTCCAAAACACCGCAAAAACAAAATTACTCCTGTCCGAAACCCATCGTCTCCTCCACCGCAATCGTCAACTTGTTCTGCAACATCGCCAGATCCTTGTACGGCGGAAGATCCAAACGGTTGAAGCTATTCCCCCAAAGTCAGTAACCAACTCCAAATATTCCAGAAACAAAAACATACCAAGTATGCGCCTTTGGCAAATTCGTAATCTCTCCCGCCTTCTCAATAGTGAACCTTCTCGGCCCATCACTCCCCTGCAGATCCTTGAACCCGTTCACCGGAATCCTCGACGTGCCCGTCGTGAACTGCAGCAGCCTGCTCTTCTGCTCCCCGTCCCAGCTCCTCACCGTCTGCCAAAAGAACTGAATCACCTCGTCGCTCTCGGTGTATCCCCTGTAATCGGTGTGCTTCTTCCAGTCGTCCACGTCAATCTCGGCAATACCGCCAATCAGCAGCTCCAGCTCCCTCTCGTCAAAGACATTGATCAGATCATGAGGAATAAGCTCCTGGAACCCCTCCTTGAACGCCTGGAACTGCTCCGCAATTCTCTTTTCGATCCTCCACTTGACCATCAGGTCGACATATTCCTTCTTGTTCTCTTCCGTCACGTCAATGTTGCGCCCGTTGGGCTTGAGGTCCTCGACAGCAATCACGCCGAAGCGCTCGTCTTCAGTAGAGAAAGTCATCTCCAGCCCGGCATCCGTGATGTCGTTGTCCAGAATCCACTGCAGCGACCGGTGGAAGTCAGCGTCGACACCTTCCATGTCAGCCAGCACCACTGCCTTGCCAAGCACCATCTTGTACAGCGCTCCGATGAAGAAGGCGTCGAGGAATCTGCGGTGGAAAATGGCAAGACCGACAACACGGCCAATAAACTTGAAATAGTTCAGGTGCTCGGGATTGATGCCCGAGTGCGGGTTGATCTGCAGCGTGTAGTTGTCGTGCGCCGAGTACTCGAACAAGCAATAGAACGGGTTGAACATCTCGTGCGACAAGAGGAAGAAGAACTCTCTCGACAGACCACCATAATCCAGACCGTCTTCGCCGTCGAATTTGATCATCAGTCTCTTCTTCAGGTCCGTGGCTGACTGGCGACTAATCTCGGCGAACGAGTCCTCAAAGATGTGCGAGCGTCTAACCTTGATGTGGCATTGCCCGGAGAGGATTCGCATGGCGGGCTGAGACCGGAAGTAAATCAGCTTCCTCCTGAAATCACGCTTGTACTGCGGCACGTTCTGGTCGAGCGACGACGGCAACCTTGGGTCATCCCAGGTGGTTGTCTTGGTGTTGTGGTCCACAAAGTAGACGCGAGCTGTGTTAGTCAGGCGCATCTCCCATCCGCTGGGCAAGGGGCCAAGCTGTGACACTGGCTGCTGCTGGATTCTTCCGTTGTCGTTATTGCCGCCATACATCCTTATGTACTGCTGGCGTCGCGGGTCGACCCACGTCGTTGTGCGTGTGTTGTGGTCGACAAAGTAAGCTCTGCCTTCGGGTGTCCACCTCTGCTCCCAGCCAGGTGGAAGCTCGCCGCTACCGGCCGTTGTAGCCCCGGTGTTCATCATGGTGGTGGCATTGGCTTGCGAGGCGGCTGCTTGCTGTGCCTGCTGTTGTTGAAGTGTTGGCGAGTTGGCACCAGTTCGATCTTCGGGGAGCGTGCGGTTCTGGTGTCTCTGTCTTTCCACTTGGGTATTCGCCTCGGCCACCCGGTTCTCGGCAGCTCCCGTCGCCCCCGTCGGTCTGTTCCAGCTCGTCGTTCGCGTATTGTGATCAACATAGTAGGTTCTCCCCAGGTTGTCCTCGCGACGTTCCCAGCCTGCTGGCAGACGGCCTTGCGAGTCTTCAAACGGGCTCAGCGTGCTATTTGTTTGTCGGGCTTGGGCGACGGCACCGTTCGTGACAGGACCGTTCGAAGCAGGAGTGGCAGCTGAAGGGTTCGACGCAAGACTTGCGGGACGATGGGGGATAGCTAGTTGCCCAGCCGCGCTGGAGCCGCCGTTGGGGCGTGACATGGCTGAAGATGGTCGTTCTGAAGAAGCTTCCCCGTTGGAAAGATTAGGGGTTGCAGGATTGAGGAGCGATGGTCTGCTGGACGACGGAGCCGATGGTAAAAGAGCTTGTTGCTGCTGAGCACGTGCGGGAGCTGTCATGTTAGTAGACAGGTTTATAATAAGCTTGCCGTGCACCACAAGGTTGTCTGTGGACTTCTTAAGGTCACGCGTGAGCATCTGGTCTATGATTGGGATAAGTCAGCTGAAAGGGATGCCCAGGCGCGGGAAAGGGGCTGGCTCCGTACCATCAGATTCGGGACTGAGCTCGATAACATCCCCAACGCGAATATTAATCACCCCTAGGAAGCCCTGATCCTTCTTCTTGAATTTCTTCTGGTCGAACACTTGCACGGCGAGGATGCTGTCCTCGTTCACCTTGCTGCGTCGAGTCAGTACGACATCAGGGGAAAACTGCCCCTCTATGGGCACCTGGGGAGGCCGCCACTTACAAATCAAAGCTTTCATTCCAATATGGGTTCAGTGTCCGCTTGGAAACCTGTGTTGTCTTGGTTTGCTCGCCATTGATGGTTGCTACCGCAAAGGGATCGGGGAATCCTGAAGGCCAGCAAGTCAGCATTCCTGTTCGAGAACCACAGCATCCAACAGCCGTAACCCAGCACTCCGGGACCACATACGGAAGACATCCCGCTTGTATAAGCCATCGGCCGCAATAACTTGGAACACGAAGTTAGTACTGTTGATACTAGTGCAAAGGGCTAGGGTTGGGCTCGAGTTTACTTGTAACACGAAGGTTGTTTCCTTGGCTGTCGCAAGGGGTCAGTCAGCTCAGTATTTCCTCGTCAGAAGACATGAGTTGGGACTCACGCCGAAGGCCCTGCTTGACTGCCACTCATGATTGCAGACAGTGCAAGTCACTCTCGCACGTGTGGCGTTGGTGTTTCTGTGCCCTTTTCGTCTGGACTTCTCCTGTCGTCCTTCGTCCGAGTGGGCGGTCCGCTGTTGGCGGGGATGTGTGGTTGGCTGTCGGTCGAGCAAGGGGAGGTTCGCAACGAGAAAAGGCGGGATGAGATGCCGAGATGCGGGCGGCCAAAGCGCTCGGTGGTGGAGGGATCTCGATTCGATGACTGACACTCAGCCGGGCGACGCGAATGAAGGCGCGATGAGGTGCTAGACTGCGTGTTGTAGATGCATGCGCAGCATTAAACGATGGGGAGCGCAGCTGGGCCGTCGAGGGATTGTGAGAGTGGTGAGTATGGTATGGTGAGGCTGTGCTTGTTGCTCTTCTGTCCCGGGCCCCCCCCCGCTTTGGGAACCTCTGTCGCTCGAGCCTGAGGCGGCGGGCGGCTAGTTTGTTACTGGTTGGAAGCGAGGCCGTGACGCAGTTAAGCCAGGTACCCTGTGTAAGGGCTAGGTGGTTCGAGTACCCCGTAGAGGGAGAGCTTTGTTCTGCTGGAATCTTGGAAAACGAAAAGACAAGACAAGACAAGACAAGACAAGACAAGAAAAGAGCAAGACAGCTTCAGTCCAGAGTAGCCAGAGCAGCCAGAGCAGCCAGAGCGGTCAAGCATACGGTGGTCATCAGAGAGAGCATGTGAGGTGTAGGGTGCGGTCATTGTGTCCCAAGCAGCTTTTGCCAGCGTTGCCTCCAGTACCTTCCTAGCACAGAAAAGGATCCATCCGTCCTTAGTGGATTCTGGAGGGGGATCGCGCAACTACTTTCTCGCACAGTGTGTTCCTCCTGCAGCGAAACAGTTACCCCTGAGTGATAGCCAGGTGGTGAGACTTTCTCTTCGTATCTTCCACGTGAGGCTTGCACGGCTTGTTCTTGCGCAAGTTTCGGGTCAGGCCGGCAATTCGATGTCGAATCTACTAATTGTTGTGGCGCTGGAAACACCGTCAACGAACTGTCTTGGGATTTCGAGGCTCGGTACACCGTGTTGGAATCAGATATGCACCGTGTAAGGATTGGTGGAACATGTCCCGAACCGTCAGACAGTTGCCCCTCGGATTATTTGTGAATCAGCCTTTACGAGTATAAGAGCTCCCAGCCGGGATTTTTGCGAGAAATAACAAGGCATTCTTTGAGTCTGCCTGTAATCTCCGCGTATAGGCCTCACACATCCCAGACGGTTGCTTTTCATTCCGAAATAGGGGCCCTTTATCTTGTCGGAATCTACCACAATATCCAGACTCACTCACCATCAGGCCATCTGGTACATACATAGAAATAAATAAGCGCAGGGTAGGGAAGCTAGGCTTCTGTTTCTATATTCGACATGCCGTTACTCCGCTAGTGCCCCAAGATGGATGCCACACAGAAATCCACGCAACCAAGGGGCAAAGTCCGGCGGTTGGCAACCGGACAGAAGATGCCTAGCCACCAGGGTCCATCAACTTTGTATTTGATGAGTAATTGTACCCTTTTCTTTTTACCTATCCCCCCGACTCCTAAACCGAAGCAAACAATAATAGCAATTATCCACCATGTCCCGTCTCTTGATATACAACTTTGGACAATAAGGGTGTCGATTCGACTGTCCCTTCCAATGTTGCCCTAAGGGTTGACATTCCATTCACCTCGAGCCAGAGGAGACTCTAGAAACCTCCCTCTCATTGTCCGTAATGGCTTACCTCTCCAACCAGAATAACAACAATCCAATGGCCTCCGTGAACGCCAAAAACCCCTGGCTCCGGACAGGCGACAGACCTCTCCTTGACATCAATGCCACCCCGGGTACCGCTGAAATCTTCCACCCCTTGACGTTTAGTAAGGGGCGATTCCTCCTCTGCCCCGGCCGCGGTAACCGCCGCGATAACCCCCGCCATAGAAACCACCACCACCGCCCCGACCAAACCCTCCACCACCCCTACCAAACCCTCCAAACCCTCCACGACCACCACCACGATACCCACCCCTGCCGCGTCCTCGAGACATGCCGGGCAAGTTCGTACGTTTTGGCTCAACCTTGATATTCCGTCCTTTGAAAAGGCTGTCATTCAACACCAACGCCTGAGCCACCATGTTGGGTTCCGAAAACTCGACATATGCGTAGCTGTCCCAAAACACCATGTCAGTCCTCTCGCTCTCTCGCTCTCTCTCTCTCTCTCTCTCTCTCGCTCTCTCTCTCTCTCTCTCTCTCTCTCTCTCTCTCTCTCTCTCTCTCTCTCTCTCTCTCTCTCTCTCTCTCTCTCTCTCTCTCTCTTGTGCCTCTCAATCCCACCCAGACTGCAAAAAGTAAAACTCACCCCTTTGGCTGCCCGGTAAACTTGTCCAACAAAATCGTCACCCTGTTGATGCTCCCACAATCCCCAAAGTGGCTCTGCAGCTCCTCGGGCGAGGCGGAGTAATCCACATTGCCCACAAACACGCTCCGGTTGTCGATATCTTCCTTGTCGTCCTGCAGCCCCTGTCTTTCCTGATCCATCGACGCTTGCATCTCCCTGAGCTTGGCCGCTTCGGCTTCCATCTCGGCAACGCGCCTCTTCATGGCAGAGATCTCCTCCTGTTTGTTTTGTTTTGGAGCCCGGTCAGTCTTTTTGGTTTCTTCTATTTTTTGTTTTTTTTGCTTTGAAGTTGATCAAGGCGCCGTACCTCATCATTCCCATCTTCGCCCTCGCCGTGAACTCTGTTTTCTTCTTCCTGGGGGGACTTGTCTTCTGGCTTGGGGGAGCTCATTTTGGCTTTTCGGCTTTGAGTTGTGGAGAGCAGGAGTTGCGAAATTTGATCGGGTGGGGAGGGGGTTTCGAGGTTGCGAAGTTCTGTTGGGATGGCGGAAAGGACCTGAAATCGGGGCGGTTAGCATGAGACCTCGTGGTCGGGGTCATATGTAGATAGGCGTCACGGAGGCCCGGGGAACTATTCCCAATGACGCGAACACGCGCGGCAGCCACACGAAAACGCCAAGGGAGGTTGTATCAGATAAATCTCCCACCCAGCTGTTGAGGCGGAGAGACAGGCTTACCGGGATGTAAAGTGTAATTCTTCTGGTAAAATTTTGTCGTCGGGATAGGTCCTGCTTGTGCTTAAAACAGGAAAGAGAGGTGTAGCAAAGTTGCGATCAGAAGTCGTCGCCCTGGCCAGTTTGGGTCCGCAAGGCTGGGATCTCGTTGTAACTTGTAGCCGATCGGCGAATTGTCGGACTGGGGTCTGGGTTTGCGATTTCTCCTGGGTTAGGGTTGTGGTAACCATCAAGGTTCTTGCTAGCTTGATATGTGAAACATTTCCCCATGCAACAGCCTTCGTTGAAACAGAGTACGGTTCAATCTTCTTTATCGGCTTTGTTCGCCGGGGAACGGCGCCTTAGGTCAAACGACCTCATAAACGTTCACTTATCCCCAATTTTTCTGTCATTATGGGTTGTTTGCAGTCTGCGGCCGCAATAGCCTATCACCATGGGGGAAAGCAGGCAAACAAATGTGTACAGAAAGACCTGATGTCTATACAACAAGCTACCTAGCTACCATACTTGTATGTAAGATTTCCTCTTGTTATAACCTGATCCACTCATCTCGCAGTCAATATTCCCTTTTTCTTCTCATCACAAAGCCCTCTCCGCCCACTCATCTCTCATATCATAGGCACTAACATCACTCCTCGTCTCATTCCTCCCGCTCACCCTCCTCCCATCAAAGAAAATCATCCTCCCATAAAACCTAATCCCCCCTTCCACCAACCCATCCCCCCAAAAACTTGATATAGCTCCCGTCACCCTCCTCATCATACCTACCCCCTTGCTCGTCCTCCCCCCTCCACCTGAGATAATGCCTCTCGTTCGAGGACTGATACGGCCGCTGCTCCAACCTCCAAATCCCCTCCACCGGACCCAGTACGAACGATCCCCAGAGGGCATTCCCATCCATAGTGACTGTCATTCTTGATTCACCCCTCTCGTCATAGCTAGGGTCTTCAGGTTGGAGTTCATAATTTCCGTTGAGGAGGCCGAGAGGCGGGAAGGATGCACTGCCCGGTGGGGTTGGAGTACTGGCTGTAGTTGTCATAGGTTGGTGAACCAGGATAGGGAGGGGGAGGGTCGTCGTTGGGGTTGGAGCTGCTGTAGGAGTTCCAAGTGGAAGGGGTGCTGCTGCTGTGCTTGGAGGGGCTGCTGTTTGATTTGGTGTGGCCGCCAAGGGGGCAGCTCCAGTTGCTACGGCGGGCAGTTTGGATCTGTCGGGAGGATGGAGGGGCGGGGGTTGACGAGGCGGGTGGTGGGCGGGATGAGCTGCTCGCGATGTGGGAGTCGCCTCTGCCTCGGGAGCAGCGGGCGGTTTGCTTTGTGCGTTGTATGGTGGGCTCAGGGGGGTGGCGGTGACGGCCTTGAGGAGACAGCGTGGGAGTCAGCTCTGCTTGCGGAGGTTGCCCCTCGACGGGCGGTCTGCTTCTTTGCGGGAGCTGGCTTGGCGGCAGGTGGCTTGGGGGCAGCCTTGGGTTTGGGAGTAGCGATTGTCCTCGCCTTCTTGGTAGCAGTTGCGCTACTCGGACCAGCGTGGGCGTTGTCATCGGTGGCCTTACGCTTGGTACCCCCCTTGGTAGTGGTGGTGGTCTGGTTCTTCAAAGCTTGCTTGGCTTCGCGGTCGCGCGTCGTCCACTCCTTCTTCAAGTCGGCCTCCAACTTGAGGACGGTTTTCGGCAGTCAACTTTCCACCATTGAGAGCTTCATACAGCCTCATCTTGGCTGTGCCCTTGTTCTTGGATGGTGGCAGGCCATAATGTATCAGCTGAGCTTCACACCAGTGAGCAGGGTGGTCCTTTCAGCTGTCAGGTGTCCCATCAAACTGCGACTTGGTTTCTGGGACCGTGGCCTGACGATGAAGATTGTGGCCGGAAGCTTCCACAAAGAATTCACCGTGGGCATATGACCAGTGGTCGCTGGTGACAGGTGGGACGACGGCAGCCATTTTTATAGATCGGTGCCGTCGTGGGTTGTGGGATCTGTCGGTATCCGGAGGTTGAGTACACTTGGATGCTGCGATGATGTCAAGCCCGATTATTGACGACGATAGAGATGCAAGGCGGGTTGAAGGTGAGTTCGAAATGGTGTTCGTCTGATTGGTGACTTTCCTTTGTGGCTTTTGTGGACAAACGTCTTGATGGACGTCAGAAGTCGCCGGTGTCGATGAAATTCAAGCGCGTTAAGTTCTTTTAGCAAAGAGAGACACGTCAAGCTCGATGAGAAGTTGCTCCCTCCCTCCCCACCGGGGTTTAAGTGGTTTATCTAGTCGCGTTACCAACGACTTCGTAGCCAGGGATCTGGTCCCTTCCAAAATTTGATCTTGGCCGTCGTTCACACATCAAGAATCACAGATCTAGTTGCAGGCCGAATCTGCTTTCAAATCTCAAGACTGAACAATTGCTCTACTGACGGTATCTGTTTACTTGAAGGTGAGCCCCTTTCCTGGTGTGCCGGTCTCCTCATAAACTAAGTTCAGTATACTACACCTCTGCCAGCGAAATATATATTAGTGCGAGACTTGCCCTTCCCCCTCATATATTCATATATTAATTATTAATAATTATAGATATAATATTAAAATTAATTAAATTTCAAGTTACTTATTTTTATTTTCTATAGTAAAGATACTTTTTAGTTTTAAAGAAATATAAATCTATTTATATTATACTTATTAGCTGGT